GAGACGTTACGAGCGATGCTGAGACTCAGCAACTACAGTTCCTGAACTGTGTCGGGCAAATAAACAACAGTTACTGGAAAGACACTGAGTGGCCTGAGCCCACTGGAGAATAATTACAAATAAGCTATGATAAAACATCTTATTCCTTTGAATATTTCCCAGAGGGTACGAGAACAAGCTTATGACTATGAAAGACATTTCACATTCAAAATTGCTTTTTGTGTATTTCGGTTGGGCTTGTTTGTCCTGCACAGGAGAGTGAGGTCAGTTTTCATATTTTCTGAACACTGCAAACTGTCTGAGGATGCAGTGACTGCATCTCACACACTCGCTGTGGCGCAGTTGTGTCATCTGAGTATACAACATTTTAATATCATTAACGATCTGGTGAGGTTATGGTGCTGAGAAAGCTCGTCTCTTATAGCGCTTGTTCGTGGCAGCGTTTGTGCGCCATGTGCTATTTCCAGCTGGCACATGAACTCGGCAGATGAACCCGGATCAGCTGTTTGTCCTCTAGGGGGGGAAAGCATTCTGGCTCATCTGATTGGCTAGCAGCTGTGTGTCACTCTGTGGATGTATGCGTGTGTTTTAATGCATATGCGAGTGCGAGCGTCTGTAAGTATATATATATTTGAAAAAAAATCCCCTTACAATGTGTGTGCATAATCTCTTTGCATCTAAATGTGTGTTGCAGAGGTGGGAAATACTATAGCTATGGTATAGTAGGTGGTTTTCCCCAGGAGGCACTCTTAGTCAGCCTGGACCTCTGATTCTTCATTCATCACATCTCCATATAATTTACAGTACTGTGATTATAATCCTTATGCACTTCAAGCACAATGAGTTGGCTTTAATATTTTTTATTTATCAATTAGTCCAGAATAAAAAAACAAATATAATCAAAAATTGATTTACGCAATTATTCCATTAGGTTGAGAGTTTTTTGGGATACTTGGCAGGGAGAGTGTCCAAGCGTCTTGTGTGGATTTAGGCAGTCTCGGTGTCTTCTCCTTCTTCGTGTAATCCCGGACAGAGATAATCTTAAGTGCCTAAAACTCTTTCTTCCACCCTCAAACGATCTTAAACGTGCAATGAAGATATTACACTGTCACCAGAAATCTCATTCGCGTCGTGATGGAATAAGCTATAAAGGGGCCCGATTGCATCACGTGGTCCCTATTAAAATGTGTTTCCCTTGCGCCGGAAGGAGAAATGGGGAAGGACAAGGGCACGGAGGGAGTGACAGAAAAAGAGAGGTATTAGTTGGAGAGGAAGGCTCACCTTTCTTGTGGACATAAAGACTTCCATCTGTGAGATAGCCAGCACAGTTTTTTCTTCCCTCGCCTCTCACAGTGAGGGTCAGGAGTAAAATATTCAGGCACCCTATTTATTAGCTGCAGGCTGTCTTTCTGCTTTATCTCCATGTTCTCTACTTCTAAAGCTGGCGGCCGGCTAAAGGAGACTGCAGAGCGAGTCCACTTGTGCGTGTCTCTGCCAGCTCTGGTGATGATTTATGAGACTGTACCAGACTGTCTTACCACAGCAATGAACAGGGTTTATTCAAAGAAAAACAAGCTAATTTGAATATAATACTAGAATATAGCACTGCACTTGGCCTTACTCAAGCATTTGTCAACAAGAGCAGTCTTGTAAAACAAATGGAGTTTCTTGTAATTTTTTAAAGTGGCCTTTAGTAATAGTTCTCCAGCTGTTCTGAAGCTCTTTTCAAGGTTTTTCTTTAGGCATTGGCTGCTTTTTCACTCATTTAAACTCCAGTTCTTATATCTGACCATTTTCAGAGGGATGTTTTTTCAGTTTGTTTGTTAAGCCACATAACAGTGACCAATGAATCATTCGAGGATAAAAAGAAACAACTCAAAGGGCAAACCAGCACTGCATCTAAACACAGCAGACAACTTAGCAAAGTGTTAAACTGTAATGCAAAGACATACAATTTCTTTAGCTGAATCTTTAAAAACTGCCAAACGCAGGAAATAGTAATTTTGCACCAACACTGTGATTCCCAAAGAACTAAAACTTGTCATGTTTGGCATATTTTTGTGCAGTGTGAAAAAAAATTTCAGGAAAGTGGAGAAGTCGAAAAAGCAGCAGGCCAAAAAGAAATGTGCATCAGTTGAACAGTATCTGAAATTCGTGCACGTTTTTAAGAAACAAGAAAAAATCCAGTGAAGACCTGACGGAGGACCAAAAGATGCATCTGGCCCTTCAGTTGTTCCATTTACTGTTGTACTGATCAGAAATGGTCTCTGTGGAGGAGGAGGGAGAAACAGGCTGAGGCATGCCAGATTACACAAGAACACCACTGAAAATAAGTGGGAACAGGTCTGATATATCGATGAATCCAAATGTAACATTTTTGGTTCAAATCATCATGTATGTATGGTCAAGGTAGAGGCATGACAGTGAGTGTTTGCAGCCATCTATAAAAAACAGGATGGAGGCTCTGTCATGGTTTGGGATGCATTTCAGTCAGTGGTGTTGGAGATCTTGTCAGAATTGATGAAATTATGAGCGCAGAAATTAATGAATGAATGAATCTCACTGGCAACAGCTTCACTTTTCAGCACGGCAATGACCCCAAACACACTAACGATGCAGTAAAAGCATTACTGGAAAGAAAAACACACCAATCCATGACACTATCAATCATGGACTCACCAGCCCAGAGCTCTGACCTCAACATTATTGAAGCAGTGTGGGATCATCTTTATAGAAAACACAACACAACACAGCCAACAGCCAAAGAAAAGCTTTGAACGTTCTTCAAGAAGCCTGGAGAACTATTCCTGAAGACGACTTAAAGAAATGACAAGAAAGTTTGCCTGGGAGAGTTCAGGCTGTGATGAAGAGTAAAGGTTGTCAAATCAAATATTGACTCATACAAACTGTTTTTTTTTCTTTGTTTTTTACCTTATATCCTGTATTTTAATTATTTCAATTTCCTATATTCCTAGCAAAATGGAGAAAAATAGTTCAAAACAGTTTACACACCATCTAATATGTCTAACCTGGCCATGTCTTATATCTTAAAGGTGTATCAAATGTTTTGCATTTAATGTTATAATTTCTTAAGATTTTTTCTAAAAAGCCATAAATATTTTTTTATTTAGAATAGAATAATCCTTTAAATGTCCCACTAGAGGAAATTTGGTTGTAACAGCAGCAAAAGAAAAGCACATATACAACCAGAACAGGACACCGAAAACAAACACACACAATTTTTACAGAAAAAAATATTTACATGATGGACAATAGTTACAAAAACAGAGTACTGTACAGTTATTAAGATTAAAGTACAGATAAAAGTGGCAAAACCAGGTTGTAGTGTGCAGACAGAGCAGGCTACTGGAAGACGTTTAAATAGAATATTTAGAAAAAAGTACACATTATGCATTGTACCTGTGCATTAAAAAGTAAACGGGTAACTTCCAATAAGTTCGTATATATAAAATGAGAAAAATAACAAGTTATAACAATAGTAGTTGTTCGGTTGAATTTGAAAGCATGAATTGTTTAAAACAGGAATACACAACTGGTAGAAGCACCAGTACCTCAATTTTGTATTGTGTGCAACATAATAATTATAATATAGTACTTGAATAACGGTATTGATGTGTACTAATATTGCCTATATGAAAACAAATCCTCATATGCACCTAATTCATGTGCAGACTAAGTTATCACACAAGCCTTCCACGTTGCAACACTGTATCATTACCTGTGAAACACATGCTTACATGTGGGCCATTAGGGCTTTTCCACGGGGAACTTATTCTATTAAACAGTTTCCACTTGTGTTGCTACCGGTGTCACTGATGTGTTGCTTTTGAAATTGCTCTGCTGTGCTATATGTAACAACACTTTGTCTGCATGTCACTCAGAGCAACAGCAGGCTTTTTCCCCCCGTTCTGGTATCTCCCATGGCACACGAAGACCAAGAGATATCTCGCTCGAGTGTGTGTACTCTATATACGCATGTGTGGTGACTTTGTTGAGGTGCTACCGCACTGTCTGCTCTTAAGCTTTGCATCCCTCGGGCATCAGTGTTTTCCTCACAGCTCTGCTAGGCTTTAACAACGGGCATCTACAGAGGTGTCAAGACCCTGAAGAGCAACACTAGCTGTAATTGCATTGTGTTTGAAGTCCATGCTCATAGGGGGAGTGAGTGTACCTTATGTGTTTAACTGTGGTTCTGTGCATGTGTGTGCGCGTGGATTTGCTTACTCTTGTGCAACTTTTTTGCTCTGTGTTTGCTCGTTTTGGAGCGGGCTCGTTCATTAGGTCTGTGGGGAGATGCGCCTTTTTTGCTGACTATATTTGAATCAAAGCCAGAGGCTCTTACCGATCAATTGTATCCACCACGCCTATGTGCAGCTGATTGGCTCTGTGCAAAGCAGGCAGCCGCAGCGTAACAGCAGCAAGTCATACGTCGATTTATTGTTCGCATCTTCCTCGTTTTCTTTCGAATGGCTCTTTAATTATGCAAAATATGTGTGAAATAGATTCTTTTCGCTCTAAAATCTCTTTTATTGCCTCTTGAATGTTAAAAGCAGTGGTGAGAAAAGACTTTTTTTTCCTCATCAAGCTTATCATCCCGTACAGAAAAGGTGTACCAACAGATGTGTTTTCTAGCTGTCAGTAAGTTGCTCATAGATCAGTCAGAGCTCCTGGCTTGAGGCTGCTGTTTATCTTTACTTTCTATTTGGCAGGAACAATTTGCATGTTTTTATGCCTGACTACAGTGTTGCATCAAAGTAAGCCAGGATTCGGTCTCGGGAAAGGAGCTCATTCTTGTGTCAGTCAGTCATGTCTGGGACAATATTTCCTAATCGTGTTTTCCGTCTTTGTCTCGGAGCAGAAAGCCTTCTAAATCACTGATTGAAGCCAATATAAATATTTTTCTATATACAGCTGCGCAAAGTGATAGACGACAGATACATCAACACATCCTAATCTGTGTCTGTCTCCACTCTCCTTAGGTCTGGATGACTGTCTCCAGCAGTACATCAAGAGTTTCGAGCGGGAGCAGATGGGAGGAGAGCAGCTGCTTCACATCACCCATCAGGAGCTGGAGGAGCTGGGTGTCACCAGGATAGGACACCAGGAGCTCATCCTGGAAGCCGTGGACCTCCTCTGCGCCCTGGTCAGCCTATGATTTTAAATGCACAGTACTGGATGGAGTGATGGTCAACAAGCTCCTAGATATGCTTGTTGTCTTCTTTTATAGCTATCAGTTAGTTATAGTTATTGCTGAGATAAAATAAGCTTAAAAATACACTCATTAGTCATTTTTTCAGGCACACGCGTTCAACTGCTCTTTAAGGAAAACATCTACATATAAAGATGAAAGCATGGCTCCGTCCTGCCTTGTATCAAAGGTTCAGGCTGGCGGTGGTGTAATGGTGTGGGGAATATCCAAGGAGCTGGGAAAGAAAGCCACTGGACTTCTCTAAGTTTCTTGCTTAAACTGTAAAAAGTCCAGGCGCTTTCTTTCCAAGCTCCTTAGACTACCATTACTGGGATGACGGAGAACCTACACAGACCGTGTGGGGAATATTTCCTTAGCACCAACTGAGCCATCTCATGTGCATCCCTTTGTGACCACAGCGTCCACAGTGTGACCACAGTGATGGCTGCTTTGTCATGTCACAAAGCTCAGATCATCTCAAGCTGGTTTCTTGAACATGTCAGTGAGTTCACGGCACTCAATTGGCCTCTAAAGTCAACAGATCTCAATCTGGTAGAGCATCTTTGGGATGTGGTGGAATGGGAGTTTGACTTTATGGATGTGAAGCCAACTAATCTGAACCAACTGTGTGATGCTGTCATGTTAATATTGACCAAAATCTCTGAGGAATGTCTCCAGCACCTTGTTGAATTTGTGCCTCGGAGTTAAGGCAGTTCTGCAGGCAGAAGTGGTTTCAGTCTGGTGTACCTAATAAGGTGTCTGGTGAGTGTATGTATGTGTATATATCATATATGACAGATGAACATTTCACCAAAGAACAATCATTGTCTAGTGCATAAAACATATGGAAAATCTGTTAAAATCAACTCATTTAAAGGTATCGGGTTCATTGATTAGCCACCATGTCAACAACCCTCCTGTAACGACATGTAGATGGATTTGACAAAGTCAGGGAGCACTATGAACTACTGCACCTGTTTGGATACCACAATGTATTATAGTTTCTTCTGGTTTTGTTTAGATATATAAAATAATACATTATCTAGATATATGAGATATCAAGTAAACTGCTGTTTTTTGTTAGGATAAAGTTATTGTATCCTGTTAAAGGTTTTAAACCATAGCTGGTTCTGGTGTTGAAGCTGATTTTTAAAAAGTACATTATGTGTAAATAGGTTTTACAAGAAGATATTTGCTCCTTTTTCCCAGTTACTTTAAGATGTGACTATGAGTTTTCTTCTTTTATAACTCACAGAAATACTAACAGGTTCAAAGGTATATATGTTGTTTTTTGTTTATTTTCCTCCACCAGTTATTGATATTGGCTTAAGAAATGACTGAAAAAAAAAAAAAGAAAATCATTCAGGCCTCGCTTTGTGTGTACTTCCTCGGTCATTGCTGACTGTATGTGCAGCGGCCCTGCCCGGGATTAGAGAATTAGGGAGAATTAGGTGCTACTCTCCCAGAGAGAGAAAGCGAGGGTGAGAGGGAATGGGAGAGAGAGAGAGAATGTAGAAAGAGTATGCAGGATGCACCTTATCTCCCATGCACACATGGGTGGATTAGTTGGGGCTGTTTGAATGTGTGTGTCAGTGTGTGTGTGTGTGTGTGCATACATGATCGTGTGTGTGTGTGTGCTAATCAGCACCTCTTCTCATTCAAATGCTCCAGTATGGGAATGAGAGTCCAGCAGTAGCGATCACCATATGTCCGGAAATTGCTCACGGACATAAATTCTGAGTATCAGACAAAATGAGCCACTGAAGCTACCGCTGTGAGTACTTTTACTTTTTATTTGTTTGGCGTCATTCCGATCAGTTGCACTGATAATTAGTGAGACAGATGAATGGGTCAGCGTCTGATGGGAAAGCACACACAGTCAGGCATGTTTAAATATAGCCCACATTTACCCGTTTTTACAGTGTACTTAAAAACAGCACAGAAATATTATCCAAACTGACAATTGTAATGCTAAGACTACAAACAGACAGGCTGCATTGTGCACACACAGTTTTTTTTATGTTCAGAGGGATTAGTACCAACATTTTTTGGTATGTTTAGAAAATCTGGGTAATCTGTTGGCAGGTGTACAGCTTGTCTGATCATGCCACTGCTCATTCCTTGCCCAGTCTCTCTTGCAGGGACGTCGTTATGATTCCAATTATTTTGGCTAATAAAAAAGAATAAATAAACCCATATTAAACCCAATAAATCCAAATCTTTAAAAAAAAACATATTTAGTGAGGAAAAACTTGAGCGCCACAGCTCTGTGGTTCATGTAGATGCTGAATATTTGGACGATAAAAGGAAATGAAATGTCTGGTCATAAAGACGAGATGAAGTTGGCTCCCATGGTTCAGCTGGGATCCCTCTCTGGTCTGTTTGTTGATCTTGATCAATGCAGGTTTCAAGAACTGACTGAGCTTTCAGTCTTGCTGTAATTGTAGAAACGTTCCTTCTTTTATGCCTGTGCAATCAAATTTTGCCCCCAGCGTGTATACTAAGTAGAATATGTGGGTAGTGAATTTTCAGCAAGCTGTGCTTGGAAATAACTTAAAAAACAAAATTACTGCTCCTTCCTAACATGAAAGACAAAGATATTGGTGCCATTAAAGTTACAGGACAAAAATACAAACAAGTTTGTTGTACTGCAGTACAACCCTCACTATTTAATAGTGAGGGTTGTACTGCAGTATACATTATGTGTTCTGCTTTAACTGATTAATTAAATCGACTTTAACAGTCAGGCTACTTAGGCTACCTAAGTAGCTAAGGTGGCCATTTATGTGAACAGGGTTGTGGGAGCCAGGTTAATATAGCTCATATACTTCAGTATTTATATTTGTTGTTAAACTTGTTTTGTGTAATTAATAATTTAATAAGTAAATTCACGGTTATAATTGAACTAAAATTATTTTCTTGCATTCGTGTTGGCTTGGTTAAGTAAAACTGTGAATACGTGTGCCTTAAAGGCTTGGTTTGTAGTTAAAATCCCGGGAGGGAGCCACACGGTTTTTCTACCGTAGTATGTTTGTTGTTGAGGATAACTTAGACCTGATTACTCCTGTAAGAAGATTTACAAGCTGTGGAATAAATTTTTGTTTGTATCTTTTCTCATCGGTGTCCCGTGGAAGTTTTTTCCTCTTCAAATAAACGTACACGAGAAAAGCACTGGAAAACTGGTCTCAGGACTATACAGGGGTGCTACTTAGATGCTACCTAAGTACCACCCTGCACCTGCTTTATCCTGCACTACCTAACGTTTGCCCTTTGTATCCTGTAAAAAAAACATCCATCAGATCTAAACCATCAGCCTTATATAGGTGTGATATTAGCTCAGGATTTATCCCAAGGACAGCGATGCACTCTGGCTATCTGCGTGACAACTCACCTGTCTAAAAAGTTAAAAAGTGCATAGTATACATAGCCTTTAGGTTCTGACCTAACTCTCTCTAATTTTGTGGGTGGGGAATAATTAATAATTAAAGCTATTTAATTACATGAGTAAGTGTGTGTAACTACCTCTCTTCATTTGGAGACACCTGTGGGAGGATCCTGGTGCTGTCTGGTGCTACAGGTACTTCGTAAACTCAGAGGAAAGACTTCCACAAACAGCTTTAAGCAACAAATCAAACCTTAGCTCCTGTAAATTTTTTTGTGTGAACGGCTAAATTCATTAGGCCGTCTGGTGAGTCATGTCACTCCGACTTGTTGGAGACTCTTTTTTTTTCAGTTTGTTATAAATGTGAAATTGTAGAGCAAATGACAGAAGCAAGAGTGACTATTTACTGAATGTGTCTGTGGTTTGAAAGATTTGTGTGAACTAAAGGCTGAGAAACTGTCCACTGGAAAACAAACATGTCAGTGAGAGCTTTTATCACAATCATCTATCACTCTTGCGCTTCATTAAGGAATTTCTTTCTCACTGTAACATGAGATAAGTTTTGGACTGCGCACGTATCTGTGTATTGAAACAGCGGCAGCCATGAAAGATTCTCACTTTGACACTTTGGGTGAGTTTATGAGATTGATTGTGAGCTTTTCGTAACTTAACAATTAAAGTTGTTTTGTCATAATCTTCACTGATAATAAATATTTTTTCTTTTTGTTTCTAACTCTCCAAATCTGCTTTTTGTCATTTCCTTTATTCTACTTTCATCTCTCCCTGCACCTCTTTCGTTTGTGGGTCCTTCTCAGTGCTATCTTGTGACTGCGAAACAAAGTTAGTTGCAACATTTATTTCTTACCATGCTTACCAGCTCATGCTTGGTGTATTACTTGGTCTTTTAACTGTTTACCAAGTAGTTTGGAATAGACTCACAAAAGGGGCCATTACAAACAAATCAAGCTATATGTAGCTCTGTTTTTAAACATTTATTTAACTCACTGAACTGTTAATAGATGTCCCTGACAATCAAGGTTAAAAAAAAATCACCGTTATATTAAATGCAGTGCTCAACAGTCACAAAAATTACAGCAGGACTTATTTTGAAGAGATGCAAAAAGCCTGCAGTAAAAATATAAAATTCATTGGTTGCACAGAATCCATCTGACTAATTTGAGCATTGAGGCCAAATCTTTTTGCAGAAAGCAACATGGGCACGATGGATATATTCTTTCTATGATTGATAGACATTCTACATTTTGGTGCAAGCATAGCGCAAAAGCTTTGACCGAGGAATCTGCAGCTGAGCAATACTTTACTTTTCAACAGGGTTTTATAGTTAAGTCCCTCTTTTACCCAAACATGTCATAAATGATGTGTGATTGTGACTCAGTGTACGAACAATAGCAGAAATACCAGCATAGCAAAGAGGCCACTCCAAACATGGCTGCTATGGTAACCACATTGACATGAATGGCAGGGGGTGGGGTGGATGGGTGGTACTCTAATGGCATCGCTCTCTTACTGTATTGATCTGGCACACTCTCTCCATCACACACACTCACACACACACACGCAAGCATTGCTAAAATTACTTCTCTCTTTCTCCAAAGTCAAAGTCATTCATGCGCTTTTATTCCCCCGCTTCATCTCAAGCGCTCTGTAGCCTGCAAAGAGCAGCACACAGCTCTAGACTGAATCATATGACAGCCTAATTACAGCTGTGCAAACACATTCACTCTATGTACATGCATGCATCTGCATTCGCACAGGAGATTATCCAGAACACAGTGTATGCATGACCCAGTTTCAGTAAGATGCATAGCTGGGTACGGTCTCTGTTCGTCTCGCTCCCCCCTTCTTGTCTTCTGCCTCTTTACTTCTTTAGTTGCCTCATCTCTCTCTTTCTCTCTCTCTGCTGCCACTGTGAAACCCTCCATCCTTTGTAGTCACTGTGGTCGTGACTGTGTAGAATAGATCTAGAGGCAGAGGAGAAATAGATACGTCTAGCTCAGCCTGTGGATCTGACTACACAAGGAGGCGCTTGTGTGTGTGTGTGTGTGTGTGTGTGTGTGTGTGTGTGGCATTTATGTCAGCAGGAATCAGGCTCCGTCATACAGGACATGACTTGAGGTGCCTTGGGATGCTGAGCACAGTGTGGATTAGTGGATGTGTATATGTGTGTTTGTTTATTTAAAAGGGTCCCAGTGCAGTAATGGGCTACTCAGCCAGCTCATTGTTTTTCTATTAGTGCAGTTAGTGGCTGTATGAATGATTATTAGTAATTCCCAGATGACATTTTTAAATTTCATGTAATTTCACCCGGAATAAGTTTTTATTTAACTCATGTTTCTTAAATATGATCTTTGCACATGATCAGCTAAGACTTGTGTAAAGATCATAGCTTTAAATAATAAGTGTAAAAAAGTATTTAAAAAATAAATACTCTTACAAAATATACAAATATTTTTCAAACACTTAGTCTTCGAGTAAATTAGGCTTATCTATCACTAGCTACAGACATGTAAAAAGACTTTTCACAGACATCTCTGCAACCCAGTGAAAAACTAAATACACTTTGAGAAACATCTCAGACTCTACAGGCCTCAGTTAGCGTGCTGAGTGTAAAAGCTGATGACAGTACAAAGCCTTTTCTTTCATATACATTTTCTACATGGGAGTGGGGGAATAAAGATGAGATGTGTTGCACAGTGCCACATTTGGCAAAACAGCTCATACCAACTGTCGAGCATGGCGGTGGAGGGTGATGATTTCAGCTTGGTCTGCAGTGACAGCATCTGGGCACCTGACTGAAATCTGACCATGAGCTCATCAAAGAATTCTAGAGTCAGGTGTGACTCTAGAAAGTGACAGCATTTGTCTGACAGTAAAATGTTAGCTAATCGTGGGTTATGCAACAGAAAATTGATATCAAGTGCAGCAGTAAATCTACAATAGAATTAAAATATAGATAAAAAAATAAATAAAAGCATTTCAAAATCCAGACCTCAACCTGAGTGAAATGCTCTGGCTGGACCTTAAGAGAACTAAATGAACGAAGTGAAACAAGGTTGTGATAAAGAGAGGGCCAATCGTCCACAATGATGTGAGAAACTGATAAAGTATTCATTCAGAGATATCAGATGATACAGTTATTCACTGACTGTATATCATGTCTGTTATACAGATAAAGTATATTGGAGTAAAATACAGACTAGCAGAAGGTGATAGCTAGCCTCACTATTCTTGAACAGAACAAAAATATGCATGTCAGTGCCTCTAGCTAGTCAGGTTAGCTTAACTTAGGAAAAAGCTAGCATGATTTTATCCAGAGTTTTTAAAAAAAAATCAGCAACCCAAAACCCTATGTATATATTTCCTCTTTCCAGACCTTTTGAAATATATATATATATATATTTAGGTTTTTGTATATATGTATGTCTTCTAATCCCTACATTAGCTAACTTAAGTTAAGCTCCTTGCTCTTTCGCAAAGCTCCTGACTCCACAGAAGGTCGTGACGTTTTTATCCAACTTCAAATTCTCAGGATAAACATATTTTCTGAACTCAGTTTGTCTGTTTGTCCTGCAGAACTACGGACTAGAGACAGAGAACCTCCGGACTCTATCCCACAAACTCAACGCTTCAGCAAAGAACCTCCAAAATTTCATCCTCGGCAGACGGAGGGGCGGCCATTATGATGGGCGAGCTTCCCGAAGGCTACCAAATGATTTTCTCACTTCAGTGGTGGATCTAATTGGTGCAGCCAAGAACTTGCTAGCTTGGCTTGACAGGTGGGGGACATATGGAGATTAGATTGTTTTTTTTTTAAATTACAGTGTTAATGAATAAATGCAATAAATTGCAAATATTTTTTTTAAAAAAACACCAAATGCCAATATTTCTCAAAAATTGTTCAGGCAAACATTTTTTCTCTAAAATTGTTGGATGTTTTTGTTTTTACACAGCAGAAACATTTCTCAGGTTATGATCCCTATTATTCTTTACTTTCTTAGGTCTCCGTTTGCCAGTGTGACAGAGTATTCATTACTGAAGAACAACATTGTGCAGCTCTGCCTAGAATTAACCACCATTGTACAACAGGTGCTTTCACACACATTCCTGCAAACATCACACAATACACCATTTCCATATCCATTAAAATAAAGGTCATGATTTGAATTTAAGGGTCAACACTAGAGCAGGATTGGATTGGAGACATCAATATGTATAGAGCTTTTGTTGCCTACAGCTGGTTTCTATAGATTTGAGCACGTGTGCAACTTACATGCATTGCCACAGGCTGTTTGCAGCATGGCTGATGGGACGAGTGGCTCTCAATAAAAGCCTTAAGCAACATTCTCATCGACTCACTGTTAGACATCATCCCTTGCCTAACTTAGGCTCTGTTGAACAGTGAACCAGAGGTCTCTCATCCCTATAATTCCCTGTCCTCCTTCTGCTTCCCCTCTGGCTCGATTCCTCATGTTAATGCACCACATTGCACACACACACAATCACACACACACACACACCCTCTCTTTATCTCTTTATGCAGCAGCTGTGCCCTTGGATAGTAACTACCATTCAGATGCTTTCTCTTACTGCCATCAAGTGGTCAAACTGTGTAAAGCTTTCACTGTAGTCGGCACCCTTGGGAGTTGACAATATTGCAGTAGTTTAATAATGTTTTATT